GCTAAAATGTAAATATTTCATTCAAAAATGAATAAGGTTTAGAATTACAATGTTACTCATAACCCAAATATGAATCCACGGCAAAAAAATTAAAACATGGATACATAAAGCATAACGATTTTCCGTCCGTCCGCTCGACAAAGACCCTAGAGCCGATGGAGCAAGACGAAGAGATGACGATGTACAAATGTTCTTCCAAAATCGGTTGTGGTTGAGAATCCAAAGGCTAGCACCAAATGAGCAAAGACCAAAGCCTAATGCACTTAGAAGCTGTTCAAAAGAGGCCCAAACAAGGAGGTGTCAACGGCAAAGACTTCACCTAGCTCGARCACCGACTCCTCTCGCATCGAGTGAGAGCAACTCGTAGCACTTCCACCATGAGCTAGACCTGAGAAGAAACCCCAAACCCAACGCAGCAAACGGCGCAAGCTTCCCCTACCAAAAACGTTGGCTAGTACACAGTTAGATAAAATTTTATGAACCACACCGCTCACTAATGGCTTACTAGCTCCTCTAAGACCCGAGGCAAGGCTAACAACACTAAGCATTGAACCAACGAAAACCTCGAACACCACATCCTCAAGTAGAAGACACACTCTACACCTGGTCCAGACCCAACCAAACAAAACCAAAACTACGATGCAACAACTTAAGATATAGCCAAGTAGCATCCACCYGAAGCAAGACCACACCTAAAGCTAGCACACCGCAAGTCACCCGAAAGCATAAGCAAGGCGCGGTGAAGATAAATACATSCCTGAGATGCCACAAAGGACACACCTTTGAAAGGGTTAAGCCACTGCCCACGGCAAAACCACAACCAAAGATATGCCCTACTCATGGCGAGACACCATCGACGAGCCTAACAAACTGCTTAACGAGCAATCAAAACTCTACAACGAGTCCAAAAGACTCTGTCCAAGGGACCGAGGCTCCAAAAGCATAGAGAAAACCGAGAGTCGTGATCAAGGACTCAAACTCCTACACAACAAATGGAGGTCCCAAAGACAAGCCAAAGAGGACAGCACGAGGACACGCGGTGAGGACAGAGGCCAATCCTCCTCAAGTGAAGTCCGTCCCCGAACGGAAGTGTTGAGGAGAGAGAAACCAAACCACCAGGTGAACATTGCGCCATTGCGCCAAGCTACGAGACCGAGAATAGGTAATAGAGGTTAGACCACGGTACTGACGTCGCTCATTAACCGCTTTAAACCTCCACCACCATCGGAATCACAGACCGGAGGAGGATCTACAGAGTAGATCTGTGGATCAAAATCGTGAGACGGGTGACGGGCCTTAGCTACTCCCCGGATGGCGTCGACTACACCATCGACTAGCAAGATGACGCTGACGGGGAAACCCCCTCACCCAGACGCGGTCGTCACGACGAACCTCTCCGGTCACTCACCGTGAATTGCTGAGCCGATCTAGCAGTGGAAGGGGGAAAGAATCCTGAGAAAAAGAAGCAGAAATGGAAAGGTGGTGGCCCTCCACAGCGGCGGTCAAAACCGGCCGCCGAAGAGGCAAACAAGTAGGAGAAGCTTGACCACCCTTTTGAATTCTCAGCTACGTATGTTTTTCTTTTTATCTCTTTGTTTTAAAATTTCAAAAACAATTTCATATGAGATTCTCACGAACCTCTGAAG